GAAATGTAACTTTCATTTCACGTTTCCGATAATCGTTTAAAGTTACAGAAATTGATCTACCCTTTATATTACATGCATTAACACATAACCATGATGCTCATGACATGTTTTTGCAAAAGATTTATAGTGTAACACCGAGGGGAAGAGGGGGAAGGGGAAGGGGAAGAGGATAGAATTATTGCCTCCCACTCATTTGGATCTCTCTCTCTCCACCCACACCTCTGATGTTGGGCTACTCCCTCCATCCCCAAATAAATCAATTCCTAAAATCCGTGCCGGTCAAACTTTTTTAAGTTTGACTAAATTTATAGAAAAGAGTAGCAGCATCTATGACATAAAATGAGCACCTTATGAAAATATATTCTATGATAAATCTAATGATACTAATTTGATACCATAAATCTTAACCATTTTTCTAGAATTTCGGTCAAAGTTTAAAAAGTTTCACTTAAGACAACTCTAGAAATCTATTTATTCAGGGACAGAGCAAGTAATAGCCAACATTAGGGGCCAATGTTGTTCTTAAAATACTTACCAAGCGAACTTGGAGATCTTGCCAAGCTTCGAGATCTTTATATTACCAAATGTATAAGATTGAAATGCATGCATTTGAATCTTATTTGGTTGAAGAACCTTTGCACACTAACCAAATTCAAAGTTGATGATGCTAAAGGTAAGGATATCGAAGAATTGCAACATATGAACTTGCTAAGAAACTCAACCAGCATCTTCTTTTAAGAGAAAGTCAAGTTTGTTATTAAAGCTAAAAGGGCAAAACTACACTTGAAGATTAAACTGACCATAGATTTTGTATTAAAATTTAATAGGATGTGGCCAGAGGATCGGACGAAGGAAAGATTTCAATAGCTTCAAACTCTAGTCTTACATGGCCATGATGTGCTCCTTTCCAATGAAGAAGTTAATCAGATGGTTTTATTTCACCATGTGAAAGTTTTGATATTGAACCTATTGTATTTTAGGAACTTCTTGGTAGAGATTTAGCTCTTGAAATCACTTCAAACATTAAATCTCATCAATTGTACACATTTGAAGCATGGTGGTGGCCAGTTGCTCCCTCCACAATTGAAGAAGCTAGAAGTGTTTAGTTGTCAAAGTCTCTTAAAGCTCCTAGATTTGCCTTCCTCACTTGAGTTGTTGGCAGTTAATTTCTGTTGCAATCTAAAGGTGATCCCAACAACTAGTGGTGAACTTGTCATCTTGGGGAGTATTCGCTACTTACTGTCGTGCCCCTCAAAGATCAAGCCAGGATTTCCACTAGAATCAAATGTGTAATACAAACTTCCCAATGCCCCTCACAAGCACGAATTGAGGGCGTCACTGGGCAACACCTAGCCAGCTAAGGTTCCAAGAACCCACGAGTAATAGAATGAAAATCAAATCACCAGCGGGTGCCACAAGTGCTCAAAAGATGAATCTTACTCCCGGAGTCAAAATCCATGAAGAGCTCACTCTAATCTCACTCATAAAGATGGGAATCTAAGCAAGAGTGAGAGAGTGTGGGAGTTTGAGAGAGAGAGCTTTTTGCTTGACCCAAGGTTGAAGAAGATGAAAAGTGAGCAAGGGAGAGTGAGAGAAAGTGGGTAGCCTCACCCAAATCCCCACAGCTACTCGCAATGACTGTTGGGGCGGTCAGATCTAAGCTGAACTAGAAATTCCAGGTAGGGCATGAAAATTTTCCAGGGAAGCCTAGAAATTCCACGTAGGGCACGAAAAAATTCCAAGCGGAGGTTCTCTGTCCAAACATGGTTGAGGGAGCAAAAGCAAATACAAAATAAGATGGCCTAGGGAATTTATAAAACATCTTTTGAGCACTTAGGACACCTATAATAAAATTTCGATCCTTCTTTATAGTACGGCATCCTATAACTCAAGTGAAGTTCAAACAAAATTGAAATTAATTGAAATGTGATGCCACATCTTTCTTTAAAGTAAAAATTGAGGGGTCACATGTTTCAATTGCACTTTTCACATTGATATTTAACTAAAAATCTCATGAAACATCATTAGCTCTTTATATGCATCGTCATCTATTTACCAAAACCCACAAATAGAATTTGATGCACTTACAAAACTACATGCGAAAAGTCTTAGCCCACGAGAAAACATAGAAATCAACTGAAAACATAGTTGCAGTATTAGATGACACTAGGCCGAGGCCTGGAAACAGTATTCAATGGCACCCAATTGAATAACTGCAACTTCCATTAACCTAAAAAGCCATCGATTACTTTGCAAATTCGTCATAACTTCATAGTGGGTTCGCGTATTTATCCTCTGATTCGTAAAGAGAAGGACCTATTTCAAAAAGGTTTTACAACTTCGTGTATTCATTCTCTAATAATTGTAAAAAGGGAGGTATAGAAAAAGTTTGTTGTTTTCAGCAACTGAAAATTTATAAAATTTGTTAAATAAAAGAAATAGTAAATAAAAAAGAAAAACACATCAAATCTAACATAACCTAAGTGTATCATTTCATTTTTCTTTCAAGAAAGATCATTACATTATCCTGGCTTGTTGACACAAAGAGAAATTACAAAAGAACTACATGACACTAAGGTTTACTCAATCTTAGTGATGGTGTTAAGAAATACCAATAGGCATTTTTGGCGCCGTTGCCAAGGATGGACTTAAAACCTCCACACTTGGTGATTGTGTTAAGAAATGCCATCAAGCATTTCTGGCGCCGTTATCGGGGATGGACTTAAAACCTCCACACTTGGTGACTACGTTAAGAAATGCCAACAGTAATGCGACAAGAAAAGACATAAACCAATAAAGGTGAACTAGACAAAATTGATAGTTGTTGTCTGTTGTCCTGATGCTTGTTGAGTTCTTGCTGCCAGGCCGTGTCCTCGGGAGCAGGAGTCGCCATTGGACCTATCCTTGTGGCCCTTCACCGTCCATCTCGCTCGAGGGTAGCCTCTTTGTCGACGAGGGGAGATCCATTTAGGTTCCCTACCCTGAACAACGGAGGAGTCGGGAACGATCAGATCCTTCGGCAGGCAAGAACATAACAAGACGACTGGTGCAGCCGCGTAGTTATGCGTGTAGACCGGCTTGTAGAGCCTTTGACCTGGCTTGACTTGGGGGTGCTGTCGGATGATTTTGCTTGACGGCCTGTTGGCTAATGGGGGTTCCCTTATCGTCGAGGGAGGGACGACAGCCCCTCTTACCCACGGTCGTCGGCCACCAGTTGTGAGTGTGCAGCTTGAGCCGAGAGTATCCCGAAGCAGGGTCGGTGCCCGAGTAGTCGGCCGCACTGCCCTGTTACCCTTTCTCGGCTATGGCAAAGGTCTTACCCTTTCGTCGACGGGGACCGCCCTAGTCTCGTCTGCTTGTCCAGTGACGATTCGGTATTGATGTCTGACGTACATGGGATGGCTTCATCGTCATCACCGTTAGAGTTCGAGTTCTCGAGTAGCTGGTCACAGCCATAGAGAAAACAGCGGAAGGCCTCCGGATCAATGAGTCCAGAGACATCGGTGTCGTCCCACCAATCTTGTTGATCGGGGGTGTCTTCAGCGTTGTCATGGTCCGTCAGTCCCTGCGGCTGGCGTTCCTCTGTGGGAGGTTCAGTGGGTTCCACCGCCGCCTACGAGAGTGTCTCGCCACGGGTTGTCGTTGTGCGCCCTGATCTTGTCGAAGATTGGGGGCGTCGCGGTGAGGTGTAGGTATGAGATCTAATGCGGAGTCGAGATCCGTGGTTTTGCTGATGTGAAAAGTGGGGACGACCTCACCTTCTCGTCCGTCTTCGATGAAAAGATGAGCGTAACGCTTCAGGTATACCGCGAGGACGTCCAGTCCGGTGTCCATAGCCTCCTCCAGCCCGGCGGCAAAAGCGCGGATCTGGAAGGACCGCTCTCCTTCTTCGGTTGGCTCGGGTTCCTGAAGGCATAGGTCCACGTACTGATCAGCCATGAAGTCGAGCTTGCCGAAGGTGATCCTCTTGCCCAGCTGCTCCCACTCCAGTTCACCGCCAATGTTGAAGATGACTCCCATCTAAAACACAAAATTAGTCTGAACGCAAAAGGCCCCAACCTGGCGCGCCAACTGTCGAATTGTTTTGCTCCAGCAATATCCATCAACATGATCTTGTAGACGGAATCAGATGGTACCACACGAAACACAGAGATTTATACTGGTTCGGGGCGTGGTACACGCTAATCCCTACTCTAGTGGTGCGGTAGCTCTTGTATTCGTATGCTCAGTTACAGGGGCTATTGCTCCTAGCTACGAGGTAGATGGAATTAGTGGAATATTGGATCCCGAGCCTAAGATCCCTACCCTCCTTTATATAGGCAGGAGAGGTAGGGTTATAGAGAGAGCGATCGAGCTAACAGATTGTTTTCTACTCAATCTATCCCAAATTGGAAGACGTTTGACTTTTTTACATCAAGTTTGATCACTCGTCTTATTCAAAAATTTATGTAAAATATCACTTCTTTCGTCGTGGTTTGATTTATTAATAAAAATTCTTCAAGAATGACTTAAATTTAACTATATTTGCACAAATTTTTTTGAACAAGACGAGTGGTCAAACTTGGGGCAAAAAAGTCAAACGTCTTACAATTTGGGATAGAGGGAGTAGTTTGTTACAACAAATTGATTCTTGTTATCGTCCAGATACGCCCGTCTTGGTTTGCCTTGATCCCTACGTTGGTTGATCGCGTCAGCCCTTGTGGGCCTCCTCCTCGACGGCTGCTGGGCCGATAGCTTGGTGGCAGTCATATATACGGACGGTGCAGGTACTCCTGGCCCATATCTCTGACAGGTTCTTTCGTTGACTATAAATATGCGACTCCCGTGCTCTAGGCCTGGACGCGAGAGCGCAGAATGAGATCGTTGAATTTAGCAAATGGGTTTTAGATGTTGGTGAGGGTAAGGTGGAGAGTGTGAGGAAAGGTGGTGAGACTGAGGGGTCATGGATTAAGATACCACGTGATCTATTACTCATGCCACGAGAGGACAAGGTTCCCTCCATGGTTAGTGCTGTGTACCCAGACTTGGCTATGAAATATTGACGCACACTACCTTCAGAGCCAGGCCATTCTGACACCAACTAATGAGGTTGAGGATACCATTAATTCAGATGTTGTCTCCCTGGTGCCCGGCGAGGAGTACCTAAGCTGTGATAAGATTGCAAAGTCCCCAGGAACCCATGATTCTTATGACCTCCTATACCCTATTGAGTTTTTTAATTCACTGAATGGTAATAATTTCCCACAACATCGTCTCCTCCTAAAGAAGGGTGTGCCAATAATGATGCTTAGAAACCTTGATCAGGCCGGTGGGCTCTGTAACGGGACACGGCTGATTGTTACCAATATAGGTGATATGTTAATAGAAGCTCAGATAATGACAGGCACACATGCTGGTTATGTTGTCCACATACCGAGATTTTGCCTAACACTTAAGAATACAAGGTTACCATTTGTTCTAGAGAGGCGCCAGTTCCCAGTCAAAGTCTGCTATGCCATGACCATTAATAAGAGCCAAGGACAGACCCTGGCTCATGTCGGTGTCTATCTAAAAAATCCTGTTTTTAGCCATGGCCAGCTATATGTTATTATTTCCCGTGTCACTTCGAAGCGTGGCAATTGTACAGATGAAACACAGAACATTGAGTATCGAGAAATACCCATACTTAATTTTCCTGCTTCCTGTTGTGAGGTTCACCTTTTGAAACGGTCACACACTGTCTTTTGTTTCATTTTGGTACTTGCGTGTGTTCACCGAAGATAGCCCATCTAACGTGCTGTCCCATGTTTCCTGTGCTCTGTGCATTTCTGATCATTTTCCGGCGTGTCTTTTGGGGATGTGTTTTCTTCCTTTTGTATGTCACCATTCTGCCTGTGACCTATACTGGTTTCCTGGGAAACGCCAGGTTCGTTCCCTTCTTCTACACCACTATGCCTGGGTACCATGCTTACCAGTTGTTTCATTACCTCGTTGTTAATGCTGTTGTGTGCAGTTTGTTCCGATGGCTTTTGCTCTCTTGCCGACGCTGCGCCCTCGTGATTGGCGTGCAACCGTTTGTCGGAAGTGGGAGTACCATGGTGGCACGGATGATGGCCCGATCCAGCATGTTGATCTTGTGTTCGTTGATGAACAGGTTGACCTACCTACCTATTTAACTTGCTGCCTACCTGTGTAGTTGTTTGATTACTTTCTCCTTCGCATGATATGTGTTTCCTTGACATGACATCTTATCTGTTTTGGGGAACAGGGCAACAGGATGTATGGTGAGATCCCAGCACAGGAGGTGGACACAAAAAGTCCCCTCATAGAGGAGGGTGGTATCTATGTGATAAGTCGTTTCAGGGTCTCCAATGCAAAGTCAGGTTACAGGCCTGTTGATGCCCGCTACATGATTGAGTTCACGCTACACACAACAGTTTCCCCTGCAAGAAATCACATGCCTCACTTTCCAAGGTATGTGTCGGTGTTTCGAGCAAACACCAACGAATAAATTTGTATTATTGCGCGTCTGGCTCGGATGGTGTGCTAAGAGGACACGAGGTTTATATTGGTTCGGGCAGAATGTCCCTACGTCCAATTCGTTGCTGTTGCTCGTATTACTAGCACTGAAAAGTTTGTAGTAGGGGATTACAAACTGGGGAGAGAGGGAGGAGCTCCCAAGTCTCTGTGGTTCGATTGCTCGATGTTTCTACTGCTCGATCTATCGGTCGATCGATCTCTTTGCGTCCTCCTGCGCGTGAACCGATACCCCTTAGATCATGGGACGGCGTCGCATCGTGGTCTTTCCCTTTTATAGGCCAAGTCAAAAGCAGGGGTTACTTCCATCACAGGAAAGAGAGAAAAGAAAGAGAAATAAGGCTCCGGGGTTGTGCCGCCCTCCTGGCGTTAGCGGTGGTGCGGGGGTCGACAATGCTGACCCTGTAGATCATCATGGTGGCGTGGCGCGTCGCATCGTGGTCCTGTTAGCCGCTCCGCGGCGTGCGCCTCGTTCTTCGTCAGTGGTTGCGGCGGCGTCGGCGCGCCATTCTTATCTTCCATCACATCGAGGAAGGCGAGGCGGAAAGCGGACGGAATCGTCAAAGGGTCCCTGACATAGGTCCTCTCGTGGGGGATTGGCTCGGTTTGTCCCACCCTGGTCATAGCCCACGCCTTGGGGTCGGATGAGGCGAAAATGTCGATCAAGCCCATGCCTTGGGGTCGATGAGGCAAAACCTTGGACGGTGGAGCCGGCGAGCAAAAACCTCAGGATGGCGCACAGGCGTAAACCTTCCTGGGGGTCTGACGAGGCGAAAACCACATCCTCGAATCGAGCGAGGCGTGACCCGGCCCCTGGGGATGGGCGGCGTGGCGGCGTGGAGTCTCAAGATGGCGATTGTGTCATAACCATCGGATGAGGTGTCGTGATGCTCATTAATCCTTTGACTCGGATATCCGGGTATACATATCCGAGATGTGCTGAGCCTTTGGGCGTGAGACACTCCTACAAAGGCTTTTTGTAGTGGTGCCGTGGAAGCGGTTGGGTCCCCACCGGAGGTGACTTGTCGGTCTCACCATCGCTTTTGTCTCGATATACCCCGGGTACCACAAATCCGCCGCCCCGAGGTGGCTTTGGCCCGTAAGGCGTGACATCAAGATTACAAGGTACTAGATATTGTAATAGTACCAAATTGGAATCCGAGTATATAAGGAGAGACAAGGGTCCCCTAGAGGACAGATCCATAGAGATGAGCCCTCCTCGTGGGACGTAGGATGAGTCATAGCCCACGCCTTGGGGTTGGATGAGGCGACGAAACGATAATCTACACTGCTGTCCCTCGAGGTCGGGCCCATGCCTTGGGGTCGGACGAGGCAAAAACCTCATCCTCGGAGTCGGAGCCCGCGCCTTGGGGTCAAAATCGGATGAGGCGCGAAACCTTCCTTGTTGGGATTCGTGGCAAGCAAGTTTTGACGACGTGGCGGAAACCCCGGTCCTCGGAATCGCACACACGCAGGCGTGCCCCCGGCGACAGGGGATGGATCTAGGCGCGTGCTTTGGCCTCCGGGGGGTCGACGAGGCCGCGATTCGTGTGTGTGGCCTTAACCATCGGATGAGGTGTCGTGATGCTCATTAATCCTTTGACTCGGATATCCGGGCATATGGGGAAGGAATCGCGTGTTAATGAAGCGGATCCCTTCGTGACGCGAGCCTTTGGACATCGACCACGGTGAGACACTCCTACAAAGGCTTTTCGAGCAACTCCGACCACTGACTTTGTTGACCACCTCCCGGCCATTGTGACCCGTGGACCACGCGACCACGTCGTTATTGGAACTTTGGCATCCACCTCGACCACAAGACTTCGTCGCAATGATGATCGCTGCGAAGCGGGTGGTGAATTGTCGACCATTGTCATCGACGGTCGAAAAGCTCGAGGATCGGACAACTTCATCGCGACACGTCAAGTCATCTTCGAACATCGTAACACGCCGACTATGTCGTCAATAAAGCTAAGTATTATTTTAATGATTTCTTGATCATCATACACCTCCGACGACCACCCTTAGGTGCGCGCGTCGAATTTTCTCCATACATATAATCCAAAACATGTATAAGTTTTTACAGCGGTTCGCCGGTCCGGTCGGGGTCTCGGCTTCTTCTTGCATGAGATCGCCCTCGCGCTCCGGGTAGTCGCGTCCATTTGCACTAGACCTCGCGCCACGAGATGTTGGTCGAGCCATGGCGCATTCTCGAGTGAGTTTCCATCTGCCACGGAGGGCTAAAACAACTAATGTTATTTTTGAATATTACACCAAGTATAATTCATCACCAACCGAACACCAAGCGTTTACTTCACCGCTCTTTGCGGACTTGTTCGAGTGGAGCCCATCGCATCCCCTTTGTGGGGCTTTCCTTGCTTTGGAGGGAGCACGGTTCGAGATCACCGGACTTGTTCGAGTGTGACTCTAGATTCTTGGTGGGGGCCGGTCCATATAGTTCTCTAGATTCCGTCCATATAGTTCTCGGATCCGTTCGATCGTTCTTCGAGGAAAAAACATGGACCTTGCATCATCCAAGACTCAAAACGAGGGTCGGGACACCCGTGGCGCTTCGCGCGCCTCAGGTATTGGCCGCTAGCGGGCCCATCCTTAACCTCCCCTCACTCTAGAGTGCCCTAGAGCGGCCGTGAACCCACTTGTGGGCCAACCTTCGAACTCCTGGGCGTTAATGGGCCATGGGAGCATTTTTAGCTCAGTATCCCTCTTACCTGCGGTGGCCCATAGCCTTTGAAGGTGAACCGTCGCCCGGCTGATCCTTTGCGGGGAAGATTTGGATAGGCATGCGCTCGTATCTCGAGGTAGCAATGCGACTAATGCAGCGTGGAACAATGAGGGCACGACCCCTAAAGGAAATGGATCCGGTGAGGTGTGGGGCGCGTTAATTTAGGTGGATGGGTCGCCCCTCACCTGTTCCACCCTTACCTTATAAACGGAACCGTTTCTCCCTAGCCTCTGTATGCTCAGCCGCATCATTGCCCCTCCAGTCTTTCTGCCTTTTGCTCTCGAGTTCCGGCCTTCATTCCCCTATTTCCGCTTCGCCGCTGGCGAAGTTCTCGCTCTCCAGCCCTACGCCACTGCCGGATCTTCTGCATCGTCATCCCTGTTCCTCGATGGAGCCATGGCTTTGCTCTGACGTTCTCCACGCACGCATGGAGGGTCTAGTTAAGAAGGGCCTTCTCCGCACAAGGACCGCGGCGATGGAGTGGATCATACCTGGTGGCGAGGATGAGCTGTCGCCGCCTGACGGCTACGTCGTCTCCTTCGACCCCTTCCACGAGCGTGGGTTCATGACTCCTCCCCAACGATTCCTCCGAGGGCTGCTGCACTACTACGGGCTCGAGCTACAACATCTGAATTCCAATGGGATTCAGCACATCTTGGCCTTCATCACGTTGTGCGAGGGGTATCTAGGGATCGAGCCCCACTTTGAGCTATGGAAGTACTTCTTCGCTGTTGAGCTATAGAAGAAGAAGAGGAAGAAGCTAGACCTGGCAGTGCTGATAGGATGTGCGAGCATCCGCCTTCGAGGCAACCGGTCGTCGGAGTACATGTCCATCCCACTGTTGAAGTCCAACAAGGGGTGGCACAAGCTCTGGTTCTACCTGAGGAACGACGACGCCCCCCTGCCGATCTTCACCGGCCGCCTGATCGAGGAGGCACTAGAAGTGTGGAGGTACGAGCCTATCGCAAAGGAGCAGAAGAGGCTTGGCGACCTTCTCAAAGCCATCGTGACTTTGAAGGGCCACGATCTTCGTGGGACCAGCGTCGTCGGAGCATACCACGTCAGGAGGCTAGCGTCGCTGATGGCGCGTGCCCTTCTGATGTACAAGATGACGCCGGATTCCTTGCCCGAAGGGACGGTGATGGTAGTCGGTGAGGCCCTCAGCATCGGCGAAACGTCACAACGCATCAAGGAGGCGATGGAGTGCCCGGCGGATCTGCCGGTGGATCTCGCCCCGGTGTACCCAGTCCGGGGCATCCCGCGATGCGGCCGGACGTGGGTTTCAGCGAACTGGTAAGTCTTCTTCGAGTTTCTTTCCTTGGCCGACCCTCCTCTGTTCTCAGATTCTAAGCACCAGAATTTGTAGCCCGGCTTCTTCGCCCGTGAGTCCGACCCACCATTGCTAGAGGATGCGGCTAGGAGGGCGGCGAACCACACCACGGCTGAGGCAGTGTAGGCGAAGAAGGAGCGAAAGAAGGCAAAGAAGGAGCGAGCGAGGCTGCAGCATGGAAAGCACCGGCAAGGCTCGGAGGAGAGCTATGATGACGAGGAGGAGGAAGAGGAGGAAGTGGAGGAGGAGGAGGAGGAGGAGTCCAACCCCAACATCTAATGGGGTGCGCTTGCGGGCAAGGATGAGCAGGCCGACGTAGGGTAGGCCAGCCTAACCCCGATTCCGTAGCACGCCTCGGCGCAAACTGAAGAGGTTGTGCCTCCAAGATCGGTGGGGGAGGACGCGCCCTCGAGGTCGGAGGAGCAAGTCCACCCCGCTCTGACCGACCGCACCGGGGGATCGAAGCGGCCAATTGCCGACGTGGTAGAGTCGGAGTCGAGCAACCAACCCCCAAAGCATTCTTGGATAATGGCGTCGAGGTGAGTTAATGACTTCATCGCCCTTTCGTTGCGTTCTTGGATTTCGTCGTGTGACGTTGGTGCTTTCCGCAGGACCGGCCCTAGCAACCGCCTGGAGTTGGCGCCGCAGAAGATTCTGGCACGTCGGCTAATCCCCCAGGAGCCGACTGGCGTGGTGTCAGGGGCACGCCATGATGGCGCCGAGGCGGACACGACGACGCCTGAGGAAGCGAGGGTGGTGGATGCGATGATTGTGCCTTAGGTGGCGCTCGTGCAATTGGCGCCCGCGCCAGTCGACGCGCCCGAGGTGGGGCAGACAAGAGGAGGCACGACCGAGGCATCCCCT